ATTGACTTGGGCGTCGGAGAACCTTCGAAAAAGAAACTCCCTTTCGGTCTTCCCAAGGGCCCAACTGACATTTCGTGTAGTGTTTGCAGGCTCAGACTGGCCTTCCCCCGCACTCGGGGGATCCAAACTGGATTCCTCCCCGGAGCAACACGTCGTCATTCCCCATAGAGGATAAAATTTGGAGGCACGACTCCACTCCTTGGACGAATAAATTCGGAGGCACGACTCCACTCCTTGCACGAATAACACACCCTCACGTGGCATCCCAAAATTTGCTCTCGAACAGTTTGCACTACAAAGAGGGAGGGGGGGGGGGGGCGATCACCAGTGCTTCAAACCGCAGGAGTTTGGCATGTAGATCGCACTCACCACACGCTTGAACCCCTACACACCAGAAGGTCCCAGTAACGGCTAGCGATTCTCGCAAGGTCAAAAGAAAATCGACGAAGAGTCGTGACGGTTTGAAATTTGCGTTCCTACAGGAAAAATCACCAAACATCCGCAGAGGGAATAGTCCCAGGGACGGGTTGCAAAGAGTTCGTGTGCGGGTCAAGCGTAACTGCCCGGGCGTCTCGACCATCGCGGCGGGGTATATGGAACCTGTAGTCGTAGACGAAATGTGGCCGTCCCAAAGATAATTTTGGCTGGCTACCGCCTGCGAGGTCATTCCGCTCCCACCCTGCGAGGCTATCTTATTTCTTGCTTGATTGATAGTTTGATTTCCTGCATGCTTGATTTCTTGCTTGCCTGATTGCTTGATTTCCTGTTTGCTTGATTGCTTGATTTCCTGCAGGCTTGCTTGCGTGATTTCTTGCTCACATGATTGCATGCTTTCTTGCTTGTCTGATTTCTTGCTTACATGATTGCATATTTTCTTTCTTGCGTGATTTCTTACCTGCATGACTACATGATTCCTTGCTTACATGATTGGTCATTGTCTTGTTTGCATGATTGTAATTTTTCTCGTTTGCATGACGATATTTTCTTTCTCGCTTACATGCCATCAATGTTTGTCTTTCGTTTGCATTCATCTCTAGGAACATCACCTTTTAGCTTGCCCTCTTCTTCTTTAAAAAACCTCTTTTTAGCATGCTCCTTCGCGGACTTGCTTGTCTTCCAGGACACCATTCCTCCGGGAATTCAGGACTCCGGTCCAGCAGGTCCCCATGGCCCTTCCTACGTCAGCTCCCTCTGGGGACAGCATGCACCCTAAGCTTGCTACCCTGCGGAGTTGCTCGCCCTCCAGGACATCCTTCCTCCGGGATTCTGAGGCTCCGGCCTCACAGACCTCCGGGTCTTCCTTGCCGGTCCCCCCCCAGTGGGCTGTGCGACAAAACAGCATGCTCCTCCCAAGGTCATGCTTGCCACTCAGGCACAATAGGAATTGAGGTCGCCTATTCGCAGGCTTTCTCTTCCTGATAAATTCTGGACCTCTTCCCTCCGGGGTACGTCACAAGAACGTTCTTAAAACCCAGAAACTTCCACGTAAGCACAACGCAAAGACTGTCCAAGAAGTAAGGGAGTCGAGGTAACGCCCTCGGAAAATGTCCTACTCCGCACCAGCTGCACTCGACTAGCAACTCCCTCTTGCGTTAGCACCCCGCGACTAAGGAAACATCTATTCATCCGCTCAACGGCGCCATCCTTGGCCTTTGGTTGGTGTCTTTACCATGTCGTTGTCTTATGTCGATCCCTATGGTCACATAAGACTATAACCTCTCTCATGACCCCGATGAGAGATGGCAAGACGGCATCTTGTCTAGTGCCCCACAAAACAAGAAGTAAACTTCCTCCGGAGAGATGTCCATCCATGGACGAGCTATCAGTTCCTCCAGAAGCACCAATATCCTTCCATCATGTGCAAGTAGCGTACTCCCCCGGGATGCGTGTCCCAGTCAGAGTAGGATACAATCACCTGACTTCTCTGGAATCCTAGCTCCTCGACTTACAGCATACTCCTCTGGATGCATAGTGAAGTCAAGGCGAGTCCCTTATCACTTATTTAGTTTGACCGTCTCACGGTTCGCTTCCATAGAAGTGTAATTCATTTGGCTAGTAACGTATTCCTCCGGATACGAATACGGTTAGAGTTGACACCTATTATAATTGCCCCGTGGTCCGTTTCTCTGGAAGTATAGTTTCTTCAAACACGTGCTTCCCCGGGACATACAAATAAGGTAGGAGTTAAATCCTTCTTTCGCCCGCTCTTCCGGTTAGAACCGTACTCCCTCACGATATGTGGCAAGGCTGGAGTTGATATCTTTATTGCTTCCTTAAGGACTTAAAACTCCCCGAACAGTTCAGTACTCCCTCGGAATGCATGGCACGGTTTGGGCGAGTCCCCGTTAAGTAGCGTTCCTCGTTCTTCTAGAACTTAGCTTTGCCCAGAATGGTACCGTACCCTTTGGGATACGCAGCAAGGTCGACGCGTTAATATGGCCTTCAACATCAAGACGCTTAGGGAACCGGATAACTCATGCTTATTGCACAGGAAACACAACGGAGGTCGACTCTCCGACTCATTTCTCAATCAGTCGAGAACTCGGGGGTAACTGTTGGGACCGATATTACCACCTCCAAGGATAGCGCGACACGTGGACATCAAATCACCCTAGATACTGACATGGCTAGTTAGCTCGGCCAACAACTCCCAAACACTGTTCCCGTACAATTGGCGAGCTTCCCGGAACACGCATGCACCACCAGTCTACCTGCTCCTCTAGCGCGCCGAATGGAAAGGACAGGACGGGGATAAACTTGTATTAAAGGAGAGAGACATCCAAAGAGAAGAAAAGGGGGGGGAGGAGAAAAGAGGGAAAGAAACCTCCTTAAAATCCGATATAAGGAAGAGGAAAACCCAGCTCTGATCCGGTCATGCTCACACTGCCAAATAGCATGGTCGAAAGGGAAATCCCCGTTCCCCCGAGACGATGCCCATCAGGATAAGTCTTTCCTTTACTCGGAACTATGTTGTTATACTCGCTGAATTCCCTTTTTCGTATCATAGAATCCTTTCGAACACTTATAAGCTGATAGATGTCTCGATCTCCGGACGAGACCTCTCATCCAAACCCGTAGAAATACTCTCCTGAATATCTGAGTATATGTTCCGAGTATGACGTTTATTAATTTAGGCGTTGGAGAACTTTTTTGAGAGAAAAACCTTCTCTCAATCTTTTCGAGGGTCCAATTGACCTTTTTAAAATTAAATATTCCATAATTTTAAAGCAAAAGACTTAAGGAATCGAATAACTTTAAAGATGCAGATGGTTGAATTTGACCAGCAAAGCTTCAAGAATCATATTTACACGAAAATGAAATCATATGTTACCAACATATTATTCTTTCTAGAAACATCTTTAAACCAAGTACTTTTATGTGCCTAATATGAAATGATTGGAAACTTAAAACCAGGAAGTAAAAAAGAATACGTAGAAAATCAGGAGTTTTTATAAATGATAGAAAAGCATATAACATAATTTTGGATGGAAAAAACTTACAATTGTTGAGTAATGCATAAATAACTGAAATGGTAAGTTATATATGGGTATTGATTTTCGAAATGATACTCTCATGATCGTTGATTCCTCATGACTTGTTGATTGTGTATGGCGTGTTTTTTTCTTTATCTTCATACTCCCAAATTCACTTTCTCTTTATTCTAAATATGGCATGTATTATCCACAAAAGTAAAATAACATCTATCATTCTTATGACGTATGAGTTTTAATAGTCCATACTGTATTCTCTAACATATATCTATGTGGTTGACTTTAATACAATATATTAATGATTTCATGAAACTTAGTTATCATTTAAGACATACTAGTCACTTATTATCATGTGCATAATTTTGGGTGAATCTCTAAACGCTGTTTGTTTAATTGGTCTTATAGACTAGTTCTAGAGGAATTTAAACTGCCGTTATAACAACCAGAATAATTTGATGGACAATACCACTTGATCTTGACCTATGCTATCTGGAACTGATGTTTATATTGTATAAACTCATGAAACTCAATTTTAATGCATCTCCGTTCACACTTTTAACAACACCACTTATTCCTGATCCTTATCCACTAAAGTATCTCTCCCATTCGCATCTTCATGCTTCTAAACTCTCAGTATAGCAAGGAAATGTATCACCAGAACATGAAATGTTACTTAATCCCTAAGTTCTAGCCTCTCTACCTTCATCTTTTTCAGTAAATAATCCATTTTGAGCTGACAATCGATCATCTTCAGGATAATTTGGTTACCAAGTTTCCTAGGAATTCTCTCCGAGGTATCGGCAAAAGTGCATTTGATAGAATTGAACTTCATTTCGTTCTTTTAAAGAAAACAGTTCCGTAAATACCTTATGTGACCATATTCTATCAACAACTTGATTATCATAGTGTTTACATATTGTAAAACAATGTTATATATTTCATGATCTAGATCTGTGATGAAAGTGGTTTTTTTCATGATTGCTAATATGCTGATTATACTCTGAATTTACATTGACAAGACGAACAATAAGTGGGTGTTGAAAGATGTTTTAAGGCAAGTATTTTTTTTTAAGTATAGCCTCATATAAATTATACCTATTTAATATATATAATTTAACATTTTAATTATGACGAAAATAAGTACAAATTATTTTAACACTTATAATAATTCTTCCCGATTACAAAATAGGCCTCCCGAGACTTTGGGACTTTGTTCTATTATTTGTTAAAAATATCTTATACTATAAGTCACACGTCTTATACTATAATTTCAGAAATTTTAACATGTAAAATTTGACCCACTTAATACATAACAATTGCAACTATTATTTGAAAGATTGTGCACGTCTCTTATTATTGACACTAGGTGAAGACCAGCGTGTTACATTTTATTATAAATTTTTGGGTATTTTGTTTTTAAATGTTACAGTTATATATAATTTTAAACTTGTTAACTATATAAAATTAAATCAATATAATATTATAGAGTAAAGCTATAAACATTTATGATCAACTTAACGCTTATAAATTATCCATCAATTTAAAAATTACTTAAATTTGTTAAAAATATACAATTATACCTACATTTTAAAACCATATATTATGTGTTAATATTAAGATTCAAATTCATGACATGGTATATGAGCACGAGGCCACGAAAGACAATCCATAAATTAAACGTAGCATGTAGTGGGAAAAGTGGAAGTCATGTATGCCACTCACGCAGAGCCATTACACCAGGCCATTGCTGCTCAGTTCGTGTCAAAAACCAAAAAGAACCATGATTAATGCAGATTGAACAAGGAGATACTCCATAGGATCAGAACAGTTCGAAACAGTAGCAAAATTTTATGATAAGTAGCCTACCTCCATAGGATCAGAACCGTCTTTTGTGGCTATGTTGGAATGAACAGGATCAGGGATTATCAGGCCTGCAGGAACCTGCCCAAACTTCAAAGCCTATTTTCCACAGGTCAAAACAGAAGAAGGAATGTCCAAATCAACCAAAAGCAACATCATCAGGCACATATTCAATAAAAAAAAAGAAGCAAGGAACCTGTTCTAGTCAATTTCTTCTAACGTCTGGGAGTTGATAATTGCAGCCTGGAACATCACCAAAAATGAAAACCTAAGTTACTATCAAACACACAGCCTTGACCTACTTAATATAAGGATAGACAAATCAGCGACTATGCTTTGGTCCTATCCAGTTTTCAGTTTCCCTCCTCTTTCAACACCCCAAAGAAATAATTTTCTGGAGCTTTTGTGGTTTCTATCTTGTAAAGAGCTTTTTAAATTGGTATCTCCCTATGCTACTCAGCTGAAAAATCCATTTGACCCAATTTAGAGATAATCGCACCTTGATCGCTAAAATTTGGGTGTTGAAGCCACCACTTTTGGAGTCTCTGGTTGTTATGTAGTATCTGAAACTTTTTGAACCTCCTCCTGAGAAACCTTCTTAACCTCCTCTTCTGCTTCCTTGGATGAAAACAAAGACGCAGCTTCAGCTCTCTCATGTAAGGAAACAATGATTGTCATATAAATGACTTGATTTTAGAAGTTCTAATTCACTAATATGCGTTATTTCCTGGAGCCAAGGGAGAGAGGCAAAGGAAAAAGCCAAAAAATTATCACATTCAATGCTACAACCCTAAGGAGCTGCTTGCGGCACCATAGAGTACAGAACACGATAGAATATAATTTTTTTAAAAAAAAACACAACGTAGATCAAGATCAGTATATATGTGCCCCATAAATTTTTCAAAAAAATTTCGAGATGATCAGGCAACCAAGTCATCAAGACCAAAGACTATTTACTTTGCATATCATTTTAGCGAAATGTTTTGTTAAAATATAAGAAAATTCTCATTGCGGTATACAAATAACATGTCACAAGAATCTAAAACAAAAGGCAACCAAGTCATCAAGATGCAGTAAAAGCAGTAATATTAACTTGTCATCTAGAATAAACAAAGCTAATCAATGGATAAAGCAGAAAATAAGATCCTCACCTTGGCTTTCACTTTTATGAAATCCAGTACTCGAAGTGATTTTAGCTTGTAAATCACATAAAGGAGATAGTTTGGCTTCTTGGTGATATTATTATCCAATAAACTAAGGTACTGCAGCTTCGGGATGGATTCAAGGGGATCAATTTCAACCAAATTCACAAGCCTGTTATTTGTAAGAACGAAAGTGTGAAGCCTCGGTAGGAATTATACAGAAGAAGAATCAAACAATTAACACACTTAATCAACAGAGAAACCAATGTTTCCAGTTTACATTTTACTACAACACACACAAAGAGCAGGTTACCTCCAAGATTAGGATTGATTCGGGTGATCCGATTGTTATTTATGAGCAAAGTTCCTAGCGGTTGAGGTAAAGAAAGTTTTCTAGCTTAACTATCTTATTATCAGAGAGATCAATTGTATTGAATTGGTCCTTAAAGCAAAACAAAACAAGCTAATTAGTAAGCAATCAAAATCAATTCAACACAAGAAAAATATAATACGAAGGAGTAACACAATAGCATATATCACAGATCCTCAAATATGCAAATCAGCATCTTACGGGAGGACTTTCATAAAGAGTGATGTTTTTTTACTCTGAAATGACGGTAAAGCACACTGTGGCTATGGCAATCAGACACGCTTTTACAAAGCTGAAACATGAATCTCTGCACGAGAGAAGCGTCAAGGGGTCTAGGATTGGAGTCTCTCCTATGCTAATTAGGGGAAGAAATGCAAATATCTATTATATAAACCCAAATCGGAATTGAATCGGAAGAGATGAGACAAACCCAAATATAAACATACATTGGGTACGAGGCTCCGCCCATGAGTAGCTTGACGCTGTAGCAACGGTTGTGTGCGCTGCGGCGGTTTGTGCGGCGGCGAATGCAGAGCTCTGGTGTGATTGAAATCATTACATGGAAGAACCTCTAGGAAATTGCAATCCGAATTGAATCGGAAGAGATAAGATAAACCCAAATCCGGCCTGAAGGGGAAGCTAAGTCTGATGAAAACAGATCCATAAGCTTTAGCAAAGAAGAAGAGAACATGACTTCTCTAAAAAATCCAGAGAAAAAAAAGAGAGAGAAGTAATGTGAAGAGACACTCGGAGGCTGCAATATTTATTAAATATTGACTGATTTTTAGAGGAGACGAAGAGATTGAAAAAGTTCAAAAGATAAAAAAAAGAAACAAAAATTCGAAGGTGATGTGTCAGGAAGAGAACATGACTTCTCTAAAAAAATCCAGAGAAAAGAAAGAGAGAGAAGTTATGTGAAGAGACCCTCGGAGGCTGCAATATTTATTACTGAGAGTTAGCGGAATATTGACTGATTTTTAGAGGAGACGAAGAGATTCAAAAAGTTCAAAAGATAAAAAAAAAAAAAATTACATATTCCATCTGTTTCATATTAAGTGTCGTTTTGACATTTTTCACACATATTAAGAAAAGTGATTAAAGTTCTATTATACCCTTAAACTGTTTAGATAATTACACTTTTCTATTTATATACACTCAAACAAATTAAAAGAATAAATCACAAACGGTTATTCTTTGTTCTTTAATATAGTCAAATACTTAATTAATGTCTTTCTTGGATCAAAGCAATTTTACAATTAATTAAAATGTTAAAGGCAAACTATTTGTCTAAAAGTTTCTAAAACAATGTTAGATCAACTAAAAATATTTGGAGCCAAATTTTGTAATGGAGGCAATCAAACAAAATTTAAAAAAATTGGGAGTTTATATATTAGATCATCTAAACTTTCCAAATGCTCCATCTCTAATCTATGGCTTTTGATTTCAACTTTTCACCTACAACAAATAAAAAAACTTGTTCGTTTGATCTGAATATTACACCTGACAAACAGTGATGATTATGCTCCTCAAGTAGAAGACTTCATAGATGATGTTGATACAGTTCATCTAAATGATGAAACAAATACTGATGATGGAAAATCAATACCAATAACGGTTGTATCATCTTCACAAGGTACTCTTTTAGTCGATTTGAATTTAAGTCCGATGGAAGAGCCAGATGCAGAAACAGCACAACCTATAGAGATAAATCTTAGCGAATTGTATGAAGAATATGAAGATTACTTCGTTGAAAATCCAGGTATTTTTATATACGTACCCTAACCATTTATTCATATACTAGTCTGATTTTTTTTTTCTTATTTAGTTCATAACAATGAAATTCAGTTTACACTATCTATACATATAGGATACTTATATCATTGTACTAATGAAATTCTAAATATTTTGAACAGTACAAGACGATCATCAATCAACTGGAACTAAAAAGAATGTTACTAATGGTCAAAGGTGGGCAATTTATAATGCTTTGTTGGAAAGGAGCAACAATGGACACTTGAAAAAAACTACAACAAGGGAAATATCAGAGTTGTTCTCGGTTCATCATCGGACGGTGCAACGAATCTGGGAACGAGCTAAAAAGACTCCCATTGGTGCATCAGTTGACGTATCTAACAGAAAGACAAAAAATTCTGGTCGTAAGAGAGTTCCGATTGACTTACAACGGATCCTCGATGTTCCTCTTCGCCAGCGAACAACTTTGAGAACATTGGGAGAAGCACTTGGGGTAAGTTATGCATCACTACATAGACGTGTGAAAGAAGGTCTTATACGACGTCACACTAATGCATTGAAACCACATTTGAAAGAGGAAACTAAGATAGCACGTCTACGATTCTGCCTGTCTATGTTGGATGAACACAGTTTGCCTCAAGAGCCAAAATTTGTTGATATGTACAATATCGTACATATTGATGAAAAATGGTTCTGTTTGACAAAGAAGTCTGAAAATTATTACCTACTTCCGGATGAAGACGAGCCGTTGCGGACAATTCAAAGTAAGAATTTCATTGGAAAAGTTATGTTTTTAGTTGCCATGGCTCGTCCAAGGTTTGATACTGCAGGTAACGAATTATTTTCGGGAAAGATTGGATTATTTCCTTTTGTCACGAATCAACCTGCACAAAGACGGAGCAAAAATAGAGAAGCGGGGGTCATGGAGACCAAAGCTATTACTTCCGTGAAAAGGGTACACATAAGGGACGTTTTAATCAACGGAGTTATTCCCAACATTCACGAAAAGTGGCCACCTGAAGATTTAGGGAAACCTATATTCATCAACAAGACAACGCAAGAACACACGTCAATCCATACGATAAAGAAGTTCAAGAGGCTGGTTCAACAAACGGGTTTGATATTCGGTTGATGTGTCAACCGCCGAGTTCTCCAGATTTGAATGTTCTTGACCTTGGATTCTTTAGTGCTATCCAAGCCTTGCAACATAAGGTATGTCCCAAAAGCGTTGAAGAGCTTCTTAGTGCTGTCGAAAAATCTTTTGAAGAGTACCCAACAAAAAAGATCAACCATATTTTTTTAACCTTGCAACTTTGTATGCAAGAAACTATGAGAGTTGGAGGATCGAATAACTACAAAATTCCACATATGAAGAAAGAAGCATTGGAAAGATTGGGTCTTCTTCCTAAACAAATAAACTGTGACCCTGCTATTGTTGAGAGTGTGAGAAACCAATTAGAAACTTAAATTTGGCTTCGCTGTTTTCCTTTTTTTTTTCTCTAATTATTCGTTTGGTTTTGCTTATGACGTTGTAGAATGAATAATGATATTCTATTATCAATAACGTTGTTTTTAAATGGAGATTGTTTAGCTTATTTATACAAGAGGTTAAAATGTAGCAGACAAAAGTCACAGAGACGATAGAGAATTTTATTGATAATCATTCAAAATCAGAAACAATAATTCAATGCAATTACCTTATTACTGGATTTATCATTCAAAATATTTAGGAAGATAAATTTTAAACATCTCCACTACCATGTTTCGGGACTCCTTATTAAGCTCTTCTTCTTCATTAAGAGGTTTGTTTAAATCGAAAGCATGTACCACTTTAGCATCAACATCATGAATTTGAGTTTCTTTTTTCAGTGGATGTTCTCCTTCTTCGTATGGAAGTTTGTTTAGATCAAAATCATGAACAACTTTGACGTGAACATCATATCTTTCACACTTCACCTTGATTTTTTCCTCATCCTGCAAATTTTGTATACATTTTTTAGCCATATTTGTATTCATGACTTATCGGATAATTGAATATATAATTTAATCGATAAAAAAAGTCAAATAATTTAATGCAGAGTTAGAACGTTAATTTAATTGGGATTGGGAAAGTTTAATTATTGTGTGTAAAAAAAATGTCTCTTCACATTTTTTTATAATTTAATTTTTAATATTTGATCAGTTTAAGTTGAGGTTAAAAAGGAATGTTTTGTTAAAAGTTGTATTGAAATCTGAGAATGACATTTTTTTTATAACAAAAAAAAAGTGTTAAAACGATACTTATTTTAAAACGGAGGGAGTATAAAACACTGATATATAAAAAAGGAAGCTGATATAAAAATATTTGCATGTCGGCGATTGTTTTCATAAAATATTGACTCGAGACAATTTTTATGCCCCACATCAAAAGCTAGTCCAAGTCAATAACTGGTCAAAATGAATTCTACAAAAAAAAACCTATTAGTAGTTAGTTTATTACCGTATTACATAATAAATTTTAAATTTTATATGATTTTGACAACAAAAACTAATATAGATTATATATATATATATATATACAAACTGATATAAAAATGTTTGCATGCCATCAATTGTTTTCACAAAGTCTTGACTTGGGACAATTTGTACACCTCAAATTGAAAGTTGGACTAACTCAATAATTTGTCAAAATTGAGTCTCATGAAATCAAACATATTAGTAGTTAATTATACGTAGGGGATGTATGTATTGAATTAATAATTTTACAAGATTTTGTGGTTGTTTTAAAGTTTTTTTGTTATTTAATAAGTGATTCTAAATGAATTGTCAAAACATATGTTATTGAACATCAAAGTTATGTAAAACTAATTAAAATCACTTCAAATCTCTTATTATTCAATCAAGAATTTTTAAAAATTAAATCAAATTCACTATTATTGGAAATATTTTAAGTAATGAATTTAAAAAGATATTGAGTGATTTTAAATGATTTTCATTTTTCAATAGAGTTTGTTAGTTAAAAATATAATAAAACTAAATTTTAAGTATTTTAGCTGAGATTTCATAAAATTTTAATATCAAATCATAACTATTTCCCTAATTCACACAAATTCATCTAACAACCTATTAAACCTCAAATTATTTCAAATCTTCCCAAATTATAGATTGAATAGACCCCCAAAATAATATTTTTCTCAGTATTTACTTTTGTTTTGCTTCTTATTTATAATATTTTTGCTTATTAATTATTTACTTTTTTTTTGCTTGTTATTTATAATATTTTCATATTATTTATAATATTTGTTTATCTAGTAGTCTAATATTTCTAAGATATTTTGACATTTCAACTCATATATGAATGGTACTGGAATGGTCTAATGGATGTTACAGATTCATGATATCCTTCAATTTTTCAACCTAGGCACAAACGTTGGTAAATTTTTGTTTAATATGTAAATCATGGTGTTACTCTTGTCAGGTGCATTCTTTCAAACAACATAGATGTCTTTTCTGAGAGATATGGACACAGCAACCAATAGAATTGGCACCATTTTCAGCATTGGATTTGGGATTGTGCTTGCTGCGCATTCGATTTCGATAGACAGGTTTTTAAATATATTTCTTGATGCATCTGTTGTACATCAGGCATCCTTTGAATGTTAGTGATGAGGTTGAGATCAAAGAAGTCGAGGTAAGAAATCAATCTTCCTAACTTTGTTTTATATATCCTTACCATTAATTGTTGACCATAAGATTGTTTTTTTTTCTTCTTTTTGTAGATGTTTGTTTAAAAAACACAAGGTGGATGAGACACTTTTTACACGAAAAAGAAGTATTCAATAAGTGACTATGTATGAAGTATATGGTAAGTTGGTGATGAACAACAGTCGCAATGAACTTACAGCTTAGAGTATGTAGGACATTGTTTGAGTTTCTCTTCGAGTGTTCTTCACTTATAACCCTTTATACTATTTTCTTTATGACACATTTTATTAGTATAGAGTTATAAGATTCTATGTTATTCATTTCTGAAAGCATTTTGACATTTTTTTATTTTAACACTTCAATAAATTCACCGCTTGTCCCGTCCTAAAACTTGGTGGGGAGTAGGGACTGATACTTGAATATACAGATGAAGATATATGTAGATGGTAATTAGAAAAACAATTTAAAAAGATAAAAAACATTCTCTTTAAAAAATGTTATAATCTGATCAAAGAAAAGAGAAACATCTCATGCGTAACATTTTTGATAGTTGAGTTTTAATTCA